TTTTGCTGCGATCGAAATATAAGGATTTCTCTTGCTAGTGCTTTTATTTGTTTTTGGTATCGAGAAGTAAAAGGTTAACACTTAAAAATTACAATTAATGAGTAGTAATAATGGTGGTGTATATACATCGATAACTAATGTAGGTACATGTCATTTGTCTAATTTTTTTACATGATGCGAATAATATGTGAAATATTTTCTTCGAACATGAAACTCATGCTATGGATAAGCAAAAAATGTGCAATTATTAAATATGCGGACATATTATGCATAATCGTTATTGTACGACGTTATAGATTTAGATATACGAGTCGTAAACTATGAGAACATTTGTCGCCTAATCATTAAATATGCTACGTTTGATTTGGATATGCTATTCCCGAATATGCGAAAAGTTATCGCACATGGTAAACTAAGTGGTGGATTTAGATATGCAAGATATAAACTATGCAAAAAAAAATGTGCGTAACGTAAAATATGCGACATTCGATCACGATATGCGATTATTGAATATGTGAAGCGTTATCGCATGTGGTAAATTAATATGTGGATTTTGGCTATTCAAGATGTAAACTATGCTAAAACATGTACATAACATAAAATATGCGATGTTCGATTTGGACATGCGATTCTTGAATATGTGAAACATTATCGTATATGGTAAATTATACAGTGGATTTGGATATATGAGTTGTAAACTATGCAAAATATATCGCATGACATTATGAGACACTGGATTTGGATATACGGTTCTTGAATATACAAAAAGTTCTCGCATATGATAAATTATGCGGTGGATTTGGATATGCGAATCATAAACTATGCAAAAATATGTTGCATAATCTTAAAATCAGCGACATTCGATTTGGATATGCGAAAAGTTCTTGCATATGGTAAATTATGATGTGGATTGACTATGCAATTTGTGAACTATGCGAAAATCTGTCGCATAACATAAAATATGCGACGTTCGATTCGGATATGCGACAACATAATATGCGAAACGCTCTCGCAAATTGTAAGTTATGAAGTGTATTTGGATTTATGAGTCGTAAACCATGTGACGATTTTTACCATAGTCATAAAATATGTGACGTTCGATTTGGATACCGATTATATATATGCTTAAGTGTTTCACATACATGTTAACTATGCGTCTGATTTGAATATGCGAAACATAAAATATGCGAAAACTTGTCACATAGTCGTAAAATATGCGGCTATGAATTTAGATATGTGATAATCATATATGCGAAATAAAATTCTCATACCAACTATGCGGTGGATTTGGATACGCGATAAATAAATATGCGAATGTATTTCATATAATTGTTAACTATGCGTCTGATTTAGATATGAGTTAGTACATATACGACGAAATCTCGCATTATTGTTAATTATACGGTTCATTTGGATATGCGATTTTTATATCGCCTATAGTTTCATGAGTATTGGGGGTGAAAAAGAAGTTTTTTGATGGACAGTGCGTAAAAGAAAGTGCATGTATATATTGAGGCGTAAAAGAATTATTCTTTTTGGTTTTGTGTTTAGTGTGTTTTGTGTTTGTCTTGTGTTGTTTTCTCTATTTTTGGAGCTAGTATCCCCATTATTGGAGCTTTAATTTTCCACTTGTGGAAGTGTAAATTACTAATTCGGAGTTTGTGAGTTCGTTTAGTTTAGCTTATTCTAGGCTATAGGCGTTCTCGTCCTGCAAACCTCTTTCTGAATTCAACTGTATAATTGTTTCAATCGGCTAGTTAATCGTTTGTAATCATGTGTTTATTAATACAACTTAAACAAAATGTGTATGCTCCATGGTGCATGAACAAAACACACAAGAGTCCCATTTATGGAGTAGCTTAACAAACAAGTCATATCACAAGAAAAAAGCTTTAACAAGACACTTGGATAAAGCCACACCAAGTGTTTTGTGTACCAGATGTACCATGCACATAATCATGGAAGAAAATTGAACTTGCCACACATTGTCAACCCTAAATACAGCAAACCTTTGGGCATATATAACACGTACCGAAAATCAATAACTAATAATGATTAGAAACCGAAATCCCCATTGCAAGTAATGGTAGGGATTTAGTAACACCATTAGGTTGTATTAATTAGGAAATGGCCAACTTTCATGTGGTTCTAGCAGATTGCACACAATACATAAACTCCTGCCTAATTCTTACATATAATTGTCCTTGAATGGACATAATTTTTTTTTCGAACTACTTTCTCGTCCTGGATTTCAGGCAGAAATTGTTTTTATGTAGTTTATGAAGACGAATTAAAGCGTTTTAACGTATAAAAAACTTACTTGCGAAGGAAACACGAAGGCTGAATTCTTACTTAGCTTAGCAAAATGCTCTAAATGAGTCTTCTATTATATGTAGCTTAAATTCGCGAGGATACAAAACGTAAATTACATGTTGTTTAACGGTTTTTCCACTAAGTAATCTTACTGTCATCATTCTAACCCGAACAAAGTGTCACCTTCTGCTTGCCAATAGGTACTATTCACTTTGGCTTTGGCCGAGCAGAGCAATAATTTGTCAGTTGAAATGAGCATCGTAGCTTCTCTTTCTAATTAGGTCGGAATTGCCCACCTAATCATTTTAACAACTTGATTAATAATTAACCTTCGATCATTTGCTAATTGATGAATACGTGTAGTACTTTCATCGGTCATCTTAGCATATCAAAAATGGCACTTATATGAATTTATATATAGACAACCTGGATCACATAAAAAAAAAATAACAAAATAAAATGACAAGCGTAAGGTACCCGACTCGTAGGCTTTTCAAATCCTATAATCTTCAAAACTTCATCTCTTGGGGGGGATCAAGAAAGGTGTTGCTTTGGTCACTCTATTCTCAAACATATCTGAGATTTTTCTCTACCTGAAGCTAGATTTCAAGTACACGAATATCTCATAGTGGTCCTAATGGTTTTTAAATTCATCACAATTCGAAACAACCAAAATGTTCGTCATTTTCTTTTCAAACTAGTGCAGACGTGGTCCACGTTTAAATATGGACGCATATTTAGTATAATGTTATTCGGATACATTAATCTTTCATTGCTAGAGTACAAATATAAAAACACCCCTTCAAAAAATGTCAAACCAAAACAGTATTTTCTTATCCATTATCCTTGTTTGTTGTTCTCTGGTACATTATCTCCCAACTAATCAGTCAGTGTCAACCCCTTTTTGTATAATCTTTATTTAATCCTTTTTCTGAGTTGCACCCAACCTGAACAATTTTTTTTTAACTTGCATAGTTCAATTTCCACCTATAAAGTACACACCGAAACACTGTTGCATTAAGATCCAGCCATGGAAAAGGTGTGAGTGTACCTAGTACCATAATTTCAATGAAGCAAGTTCATGGCAGCTGGTAAAGTCGTTGAGAAGATGCTGACCGACAATATTTTCGTTCAACATTCGGATAATCTGCCAGAAACATCACTGCAAAGCTCAAATCAAGACTATGTCAAACCCCAGGATGATTTGGATGCACAGGAAACTGTCAAGTATCGATCAACTTTTTTTTTTTTTTTTTGCATGTTCCAATCTGTAGTACTTCATTATATTACAAAATCTTTTAAATCATTCTTTTCTCTACAGAACCACAGTATAAGTTTATAAATAGAAATTAAACCAACTAATGTCCACTATTTTTGCATACTTTTTTCCTTTCTCCTATAAAAGACTGTTCGTAGGCTCTTGGAATGTAGGAGGCAACCCACCACAAGATAACTTGAACCTCAGGGATTTTCTAAATACTCAAAGTAGCATGGCGGATATATATGTTTTTGGGTAACTTTCACTTTTTCGAAGAACGGTAAATTGGGTTTTGTTAGTGATCACTGACAACATACGTCTTTCGGCAGGTTCCAAGAAATTGTACCTTTGAATGTCGGGAATATTTTGGTCCGTGAGAATACTTATGTTTCAATGAAGTGGGAATCTCTAATTAGAGGAGCTCTCAACAAGAAAACGGTAAAGGACAAAAGAATACAAAAGGCAGAAGTTGGGGAGGTGCAAAGAATTTATCCCCTGAAGACAATTGGCTCCAATAATTCAAGTGCTCAAGATTATGAGTGCATTATAAGTAAACAAATGGTGGGAATTTATATCACCGTGTGGGTCCGGACCGAACTGCAAGGCTATATAAGCCATTTGAGCGTCTCATGTGTCGGCTGTGGCATCTTGGGGCGCCTGAAAAATAAGGTACAAAAAATCTTATTAGCCATGTTCACACATCAAATTATTTCATATAGAATATAGTGGAGGGAACCTAAATTTATAAATTAACATCGAGTTTTCGCAGAATTTTATTTCACAATGATCTGTTCATTATGATTAGGCTGGATTTAACAAGTAACTGACAAAAACTATACAATTGATGTAGGGTTCAGTTTCCATCAGATTTTGCCTGCGTGAAACGAGCTTCTGCTTCGTGTGCTGTCATTTAGCTTCGGGTGGTAAAGAAGGAGACGAGAGATACAGAAATGCAGATGCAGGACATATATTGGCACACACACTTTTTCCAGTCGAACCCCTCCATCATCTGCCAAGGAAAATCCTTGACCACGAGTATTTACATCACATCCATTAGTCTCATCATAATCGTGTTTGGTTGATAAATGTTCAGCTTCTCTAACTTGTCCAGTTCGGGCAATTTTTCATATGAGAATGATGTTCTCTATAAGTTATCTATCATAATATATCTCCTAACACTAAAATGCTGTTTCTGAAAATCATGCAGTCGGGTGATTTGGCTAGGGGATCTGAATTACAGGATTTACCTGCCCGAGGCTACTACAAGATCGTTGGTGAAGAATAAAGAGTGGAGCATCTTATTAGAAAATGATCAGGTAATAAAAAAAAAAAAGCAACAAAGTGCATAATAATGTAATGCATTATCCTGATGTTTAATCGTTCAATTTGAAACAAAGCTGAAAGCTGAGCTGACGAAAGACCATGTCTTTGAGGGTTGGCATGAAAAAAAAATCAACTTTGCACCCACGTACAAGTATCATCAGAACTCGGACGACTATTATGGATCCAATCAAAAAACTGAAGCACAGAGGATGAGGGCCCCAGCATGGTCTGTTCTCCTAGGCCTTCCAGTGACATTTTCCTTTACTTAGGAGCTGATGGTGGATAACTGATGAAAGATGGTCAAATTTGTGCAGGTGTGATAGGATAATTTGGCACGGGGAAGGTTTAAAGCAGATTCAGTACGAGAGAGTCGAGTCTCGATTATCTGATCATAGACCCGTTCGAGCGATTTTCGAAGCATATGTTTCGAGTATCCTTGAAGTTTGAAAGGGACTGAGCGCCTTCTCGAACATATTTGGCCACTTAAATGTTGACGTTTCCCTCTATATCCAAAATGTAAACAAGAAAAAATGGGAGGGAATGAAATCACTGCAAGGTGATTGATTCGTAACTCGAGACTAATAAGCAGCATGATATATTCTTAGTCCTTGACTCCTTGTAATTCATTTAGGCTATTTCATTTTGTTCCTAGAAGGAGATATCAAGAACCTTATGTAATGATAGAGACTGAAATATAAATAAGAGGGGATTTAACTGAAACTCAACAAACTGACTAAACATAATATGCGTGCCTCATCCCCAGCCATAGAAGACGAAAAAATATCAACTTACGCCATGTGTATGCATAGATTTTCTTCAGCCTAAGAAATTTCAAACAGAGACTATAAAAGGTATATTGATATCTCTTACGAAAAACGGCGTCATCACGAGCACCTTGACACATTAATCTCTGACAATCCATACTCCAGCTTCAAGCAATATAAAACAATTCATCTGGGGACAGGTTCAGATGAAAGATAATTTTATAACAAAACAAATAGTTAAAATAGAGAACTGGAACTTCTGATCTATATCCAAATATCCTTTCTGTTATAGACTGTTCTCCAATCACCCAAGTATAGAAATTTTGATTGAAAAATTATAGATTTTTTTTTTTTTAAATTTAATCCTTCTGTGGTGGTCATATGTATAAGGAACATATACTAGACATGGTCATGAGAATTTTCAAAGGACTGGCAGCCAAAACGGTTTAGAATGGATAGATTACAATAAATGGCACATGCTTGCTTCAATTTGAGAAGTGAACTTAAATAAGCGTGTGTTAAGTTATGCTTGTCCCACATCAACTTCTTACTGCCACTGGACTGCTATTGTGTACAAGTTGTAGGGTACCCTCTCCCTTTGAGCTAGCTTATGGGGATGAGTTCTACTAAGGTCCATTATCATGGTTTCAGAAGTCAGGTGTTTGTTTGGACTTTGGAGGCAATGTTGGGTTTGGACCCAGCCCATTTGGAGTTGCATGCTTCTAAGTGAAGGCGGGTGTTAACAGCTATGTTTGTCCCACATCGATTTGTGACTGGATCTGTCATTATGTATTATTGTGGATTGGGAACCCTCTTCCTTTGAGCTAGCTTTTGGGGATGATTTCTACCTAGGCCCATTTATTATCAAAAAGCACTTAAACACACTAAAAGCTCTCGTTACTTCATCACAAATTTTTACCGCTTGAAATTTTAGGATTCCTGTTAAATCCAACAACATTAATGCCAGACCGACATCCAAGATATATCTAGACAAATGGGTAAGTGCACAAAGTCGTGATGCAATTAGGAAACCTGTGTCAACTTACCAAAGGGAATATATATCTACACAGAAACTGCAATTCCTGCTAAACCCACCAAGACCAATGCCAACTAACATCTAACATATATCTAGACCAAAATGGGTATGTCCACAAAGCCATGATGCAGTAAATAAACATGTGTCAACTTCCCAGAGGGTATATATACAGACACAAACTACAAATAAATGAGCTTCTGATATCACAATGAATTGCTATAAGCTCTATTTGACAAATTCTCAACAGATTTTTATTTGAAATAATTCTAGGTCACAGATGTAAGAACCAAGAGAGAATATGGAGACAAACAATTGATCCAGATAAACCATGTGAATATCACATAGTATCCCCATAAACACAGAAGACCATATTAGATGGAGCACAAATGATCTCTGGACCATATTTGATGAAGTGGAGATGATCTTTTGACCATATTTATCGGAAAATACAACAGATAACATGTAATGGAAAATTTTTAGAACTCCACCACGCCATAATGCTGTAGCAGAAATTTGATAACACTAACAAACCTTAAAAGGGGTGCTTGCTTATGTTCATAGCATTTTACAAAGAATATTGACCTTTTAAGGCTTCTGACGGAGAAAATAACCGTTTCCTACTCAAAAATAGTTATTAATATCCACATATTCTTATCACATGAGAGCTTCACGCGTTTACATGATCAATCGCCAATTCAATTAATTATAAGATTTATGAATAATCTATGCATGTTTAACTCACCTCCAGGACAGCTTTAGCTTCATGATCAAATGTTTTACAAAGAATCTCATAGCTTCTCTCTTGTCCGAACTGCATAATGAAGATAAATATGAAACACAAATGAATTATGACCAAAATAAAAGATTGAAAATCATGAATTGGAATGGAAATTGGGAGATAAAACTTGGAAGTGCAACATAGTGTTCTCACCAACGAATCAAATCTCGAAGGTGAAATTGCAGAAATTGTATACCTGCAAAAGATCGAGAATGAATAGTTGAACATCCACAATTATGTGCCACGCCTCAAACTAGAAATTGGCTAGGATTGAGAAATTAATTTAAGAAGCATATCCAATAATTCATGCTTGATAGGAATCTCCATCATTGCTCGACCATTCTCAAGAATTCAGAAGAAAACAGAAAAACAATGCAGAGTGCTTATTTTATTTTTTATTGGTGTTATAACCTTCCCAAGTAAACTGAGAGACAGTTTGCAAGAAAAGACATTTGTTAGAAGTTAATTGTTGCAACACAAGGCCTGAGCAGTAAAAAATCTGCATAAAAATTTCGCGGGCAAAGTTAAACATAAGGATTCAACAAAGCAGGTGGGAGCCCAGCTGGCTTGCAGAACAAACATGCTACATGATATACTATTTTATCTTCAGATATCTTTCTCTCAGCAGGACTATCATCAATCAATCAATCAATCAATATATCAACAAGCCTTTAAAATCCCACTAAGTGGGGTTGACTAAATGGATCACATGTCGCCATCATGCTCGACAAAACCAACAAACAAGCATAAATATAGCATTAAAATCCTATATTTCATAATATTGTTCATCAATAGATTAATCCCACAGTATGACTTGTTTTAGACAAGCCATAAATTATTGTCATGAAAGAATTGTGATTGCAGCCATTTTCTGAATACTTCTGGGACAACTAAGATGGTCATTTCCTGCTTTTTAAAATAAATTTTATAGATATGGTCTCTAGGTTCAAAACTCATAGATGAGCCCAGGCCAAGGTCCATTCTACTTTCCACTGGAATTTCCTGGGGTTTTGGACTTGCATTGGAATATACATATGCATACAATTACTTTAACGGCAACAAAATGACACTGAGCACATAATGTTAGTTTCATGCTCGACTAAGTACCGACTCTCGGCAATTCAAATTCTACCCGATTCTACTAAAGTAGATAAAACCAGTGAGTAATCAAATTATTTCCAATGAACAAGTAGAAATGATGATATATATAGCTATTTAGTACTTACCCAAGTTTATGGATATAGAAGTCCATTGCTACCAGATTTGCTCTTTGAACAGTCAGCACCACCGCACCCATTTTGTTCTGTGAATATAGCAGAGAACAGATGAATTTCTCTGAACAAGGGTCAGTGTAAGAGTAACAGCATGGTACTGAAAATTAAGTTGCATTTTTATGTTGACACGCCTTGTTACTAAAATCAAGAAAGAGAAGTCGAACAGAAAGCTAGTAAAGAAGGTTCATCAATCATCAAGAAGTATCTATGTCATGTGTGGGATTCATGAGTAACAGGCTAACAAAAACTTCAAATAAACAGGATCAGAATGGTAATGCATAATCAAACCTCGCAAGCAATAAATTCAATTAATTGCATTAAAAATTTTCCTAATCCCTTTCCTTGAATGCGAGTCTCGAGCTGTAACTCATAAACATAAACCACAGGTACGTCTTCCTCCAGAATAAATCGGTAATGGACAAACCCTACAATGGGACCCGCACAACTGCATGTCCTCCCCTCGTCCTTTAATCTTTCCACTACACTGTCATCTTCATTAGAAATCTCATGAACGAATATATAATGAGCTTCCTCTGCAACCATTTCCCGCCGCTTTACCTTTTCTTCAGCGGCCCACTCAGGTCCATAAGGTACTTCCATATTTACCTAACAGGAAAATATGAGCACAATGTCTACCCATAAAAATACATCAACAGGTCAAATATATCCAGAATATACAACCTAAGGATACCGCTGATACCTTAAGAAGCTTTTGAATGTATCGTTTTATAGGCAACGTGAGCTTATTGCCACGTCCAGCCGATAAGTGTGCATATAGCCCTAATAGTTTAAAAATTCAAGATTAACACAGAAGTATACCTCATTGAATCACAGAGAGAAACAGAGAGAGAGCATAATACTCCCGTGTAAATAAGATATACAAGAGCAGTGACTGCTTAAAAACACTTCAAACAAGATAAAATTAGGCATGTAAGAAAAGGTACAGCAAGTCAACCCAATTACAAGCATTGTGAATGATCAAATCCCACCTCTCATTCATCAATCCCATCTGACCCAATGTTTCCAACACACAGTTGTTTGTCCGTATTTTCACAAACTAAATAAATGATCTGGCAGATAAAGTGTACCCTTTAATACAGTGACCAAGTGAAACACACACAAGAAGAAAATACAAGCAGGTAAATTCCCACAGAGCAAAAAGTACGTCAAGAACAGCCAATTACAATCAGCTTTTAAAAAACAAGTGCCATTTCAAGATTCTATTCAACCACAAGCATTATAAATAATAGAAATCCCACCTCCAATCATCAATCCAATCGGACCCAATGTACACAGTTGTTTGTCTGCACTTTCACTACCCAATAAATGATATGGGCAGATAGTGTGCCCTTTACTACGGAGTGCTAAGTGCAACACACACAAGAAGAACACACAAAAACAATGTCTGACGCTGACAAAATCCCCACATAGCCAAACTGAATTCGAAAATTTTGAGCTTTCGAATGATTAGTTACTCAATCCAAACAAGAACCATAACACTATACATTCTCCATGCAAATTCAAAATTCCAAAATAGCAGCTAGACATCAAGGACGCTGGTAAAAAAAAAAA